AAAGGAGGCACAAAGAATTAGCTGAACATAACTTAGTTTATCTGTCTGTATACTCTGAGCGCCTTGAAGCCCAGGGCGCTTCATTTTGCATCCTTCACTATAGTCGTTAATGCAATACAGTGAGCCTCATCATCCAGCATTGCAGACAGGGTGCACCGGAACTTTTATTTCTTAGCTGGAAGTCAACAGCGGCATATTGAGTGCCATGCGTTATGGGACTTCAGGGGAGCCCAGAAAGGTAAATTTATGTGCCTTCTGCTCCGGTGCTTACTTTTTAGTCTGCTTTTGCAAGTTTGCTTTAAAATACTTATCTTCGCTTAAACGGTGGTTCTTGAAATGAAAATGATATCTATACATATCTGTCTGTATTGATTGATTCATTAACCACTGGAGTGTATGCCATCCTCATTAGCACTAATTAAAGACTTACAATTACCATCTAATAGTTTTGACAGTGTTTTGCATGGTGACTACAAAAGCAATGTTTAAATAAACCCCACAGTGTCTCGAAGGCAATGCAGCCCCTTCACAGGGCCTTAAATAGGTTTTCAAATGCATTGCTACCATCTGTTTAGGAGTCCCTGGGTGCTTAAATCAGGGAAACAAATTAACTGCGTATGAGAGGGAAAAACATACTTAAATGTCCATTGGTTAACAACTGTTTATTTGTGGTGTATTACTTCAGGCTAAATAGGACAGCCACAGGTACTGGTTGGAAAAAAAAGAACATATAGAAGTCTATTTCTTGTTTTGGATGACACCATCAGGCATCAGTGATAAAGCCATGTAGGGATGCACCAATACCATTTTTTCAAGACCAAGTACAAGTACTTTCCCTCAGGTACTTGCCGATACCAATTACAGATACTTTTTCTTAAAGGGACAGGTGACATTTTTTCTAAAATAATACAGGCTAATGATTTTAGGGCAGTTTCTTTATAACTGTGAAGAACTATAACTCAACCCATGATTATACAGCAATGGAGAATGGCAACCAGCAATAGAAGACTACATATCCCATCAATCCATGATTATACAGCATTGGGGAATGGCAACCAGCAATAGAAGACTACATATCCCATCAATCCATGATTATACAGCATTGGGGAATGGCAATCAGCTCACCTGGGCTGTGTGCGGTTTCACCAGGGCTGTGCTTGGGTCTCCTCGTGGCTGCGTTCGCATCTCACCAGGGCTGCGTTTGGGTCTCACCAGGACTGCATACAGGTCTCACCAGGGCTGCGTTTGGGTGTCACCTGGTTTGCGTTTGGGTGTTACCTGGGCTGCGTTCACATCTCATCAGGGATGCGTTCGCGTCTCACCATGGCTGCGGTCCATAATAGAAGTCACCAGCCCTCGATGATATGTGCAAGTAGTAAAGCACTTTTTATTCAATCGTCACATGCATCAAACAGCCTAGGCTGTTTGACGCATGTGATGATTGAATGTGACGATTGAATAAAAAGTGCTTTACTTCTTGCACATATCATCGAGTGCTGGTGACTTCTATTATGGACTGTATCTGACACGGCGCCATCCGTGTTGTCACTTCAAGCACCAACCTCTTACTCAAGATCTGTACGTTGTATGGAGTGCAGGTGATTTCGTATTAATGATTTCACCATGGCTGCGTGCGCGTCTCACCAGGGCTGCGTTCACATCTCACCAGGGCTGCCTGTGGATTTCAACAGGGCTGCATGTGGGTCTTGACAGGGCTGCATTTGGGTGTCACCAGAGCTGAATGCAGGTCTCACCAGGGCTGCATGTGGGGTTCTCCAGGACTGTACAGGCGGGCATCGGGCTCTCCAGGGCTGCATTGGCATTTTACCATGGCTGAGTGTGGGACTGTCCAGGGCTGTGCCAGTCTTGGGAAGGAGGAGGAGATGTGAAACCAGACCGGCATTATTTTAAGTGCCGGCATCTGCGCTATATATCGGTGCATCCCTAAAGCCAAGTTAAACATTGAGATTGGAATCTGTTTTAGGTTCTGGATATTGTGAGGATCCCCAAGTTTATACCATGTGGCAGTCATTTTCATTTTTTTTAAATCAGGTTTTTCTTGTGGTCTGTGTATTTCTGACCCTGTGACCCACATTATCCTAGTCCCTTGACCTGTTGTCACAAGGACAAGAAGAGAGGTGAAATCTCCCCAATGTGGTCACAGACAACACAAAAAAACTCAATGTTCTTATCTCCCACTTTGCAAAATAGAGAAAAAAAGGTTTTGGCTGGAGTTTGACTTTAAACATTGAAAATAGCTTTGTTTTGTTTTATTGTATTACGGTCTCTAATTCAGTCTCTAACTTTGAAAAGAAGATATAATCACAGTTTACAGTACTTCTCACGTAATTCATTTGTTACAATTTCATTGCCAGGTATTGAGAAAAGCTTGGCACATTCGTCATTTCAGTTTTCAAAATTAGGTACCTGTGTTGAACCTACCTTGAATGAAATGTGCCATTGTGGGTAACCTTCCATTCTAGACTCAACCACGTACATGTCAGGGCAGTGATATACTCTGCACTCTCTCCTTACCTTAGAGTTGCATACAATTAAGACAATGCTGGGAAAATTACAGCCTTAAAATAAAGTCAGATTTAAAATTCTGTGGTAGTCAATGGTAGGGTGATATGGTGACAACAAGTGAAAGAAAGACACAGATAGATGAAGAAATTAGCCTGGAGTTTAATTCATCATTTCCAAAAGAGCAGTTAATGGATTATGACAAATGTCCTGCCGCTTTCTCTTAGTGCCGTGTTAAAACTGGAAATGAAAAGTCAATTTTCCCTAAATGGATTTTAAACGAGCCAGCAAGCGTCCCTGCTCTCATCCTTACTAAAATAATTTTATTTTTTTACAGGAACAAACAACAAGCCACAAATACAGTTTTAGATTGTTTAATGTTTCCTCAATTTTCTCCAATAAAAAGAAAAATATACTTTATGTATAAGAACTGTGTTTTATATCAACCGTATGTTTAGTAGAACTGAGCTTATCTTTTACAATAAAAATCTTATTTCTTATCATTTGTCTGCAATGACCTAACTAATTTTTGTATGAGGTGGAGGCTGATAGGGTACAAATACAGTGGTAACTTGGTTCACGAACGCTTCTGTCCGCGAACAATTCGGTTCGCGAACAGGAAGTTTGGCAAAACTTTGCTTCCATTCGCATTCTCCGCATCAAGTGACGAACAAAACCACAGCCATCTTCCTTACTCTGACACATGGTCGTGGCTTCCTCTAGAGGAGATCGCGTTCTGATCACAGTTTGATTCGGATCACGACCAATTCGGTTCGCGACCAGAATCGTGGAACAAATTAAGTTCGTGAACTGAGGTACCACTGTATATGTTTACTGTAGAATGCTGACATTAATATTGAGCTCGCTAAGCACCAGCCAGAAATGGGCTGCAGCGTTAAAGCTGCCTGTAGGCTTCAGATGGCAGTCAGCCATGTGGGAATGACACCTTTGCCCTCATGCCAGAACATCTATAGACAACTGCTGAACATGCTATAGAGCTAATTTCTCAAGTTTGCGTAAATAAAGATCTAACCTGCTTGATTATGCCAGACAGCAATCATCTGACAAAGTCATAGGCTGCCCCTAGACCTCATCATCACCTGATCATTTCATATCTATGGGTAGCTTAAAACTTTTTAAGCTGATTTCCAATTACTGCACATTGTTTTTCTTTGCACCATCATAATAATCCTTGTATGTGCCTGCTATCAACTGGGCTTTGGTTCCAAAGGCTTCAGCTGGAGATATTAAAGCTGTGTACAGTGGTTAGATAGTATTTGGTTCTATTCAAACACAGAATCAGGTATGGTCATGGTTCATGGTCACAAATGATATGTCTAAGAAAACCTACATCCATAATTAAGGTGTTTTTGATGGGTGGTTAGTGTTAAATAGTATCTCCCTCTGTAACATTATTATGAAGTGTTCTGAAGTTCCACCAATAATCTTGTCCCCTCACTGTTTGCTCTACATGTAAAGGAATCTTTTAAAGGAGAACTATGGGGTCAGGGCTTTTCCCCATAGTTCTCCTTAGGGTAACGGGAGGACACAAACTAGCGTCCTCCCTAAGCTCAGTATACCGCGAGCTACCGACGTAGATGACGGGATCCGCCCAGCTGCGTGAGTGACAGCTGGCTCTGCCTATCTAGAGGCAGAGCCAGCTGTACCCACCCCCTCCCCCGTCCGTTCCCGCCAGTCAGCGCTGGCGGATCGGAGCAGGGAGGGGGGAATCCAACCCTCCCCCTGTCACGGCAGAGAGCCATGACAGGATCGAGAGGTGAGCGAACCTGGTATGTGTTCGCTCACCTCCCGATCTACTGAGCTGACCTGTGACAGTCTCATTGTCACAGGTCGGCTAGAACTATGAGGTGAGTGGAAATCACTCATCTCATAGTTCTCCTTTTAAGAACTGTTATGTCCTGTAAACTGCTTGTTATTATGTAGCCAATGTTACAATTAGGGTTGCACAGATACCAAGTACAGTACTCGGTACAAGTACGAGTACATGTACCGATACTTTTGAGCTCCAAGACTACACTAGAGAAAAATTCAAAAATTAGGAGGCAGCTGTCATTTATAAGGAGCACACAGAGCTCCTGGGGTTTGTACATCTCTGTTTTAATGTACGATTTTGTTTTTATAAATATAAATAAAGGGATGCACAAATACCAGTTTTGCGAGTACGAGTACTGATACTTGCCGAGTACTTACAAGTACGAGTACTGATACATTTTTGTTTATTGTCATGTGACAGTTTTTCTAAAACAATACAGACTAATGATTTCAGGACAGTGGTGGAACGCCAGAGCTAGGTCCCAGCTGCAACCACTGCAACCCGGGTAGTTCTCATGAAAATGCCAAGTATCTGCACTGGTACTCGAAAAGTATCTGTGCATCCCTAGTTACAATTAACAGTATTTAATACCCAGAGGACAACCATTATTAAAGCTTGCTAGTAGTTTGCAGTAGTAATATCGATGATAAATCTTGACATTTCCATATTTTGTTCTTACATTGTATATTTTCTGTCCTTTGCAGGAGTAGAATACAGTGATGTCCTACCGGACTCCTTCCCTTCCGCTCCAGCAGAATCTCTACCACATTTCCTCTTGGAACCCGAAGATGCCTACATTGTAAAGAACAAGCCCGTAGAGCTTGTGTGCAAAGCTAACCCAGCCATACAGATCTACTTTAAATGCAATGGGGAATGGGTCAACCAGAATGATCACATTACTAAGGAGAGGGTGGATGAGCTCACAGGTGAGTTACAAATGTTTTTTTTAGTAAACATGTGTGCACACTCTGAAAGCCAGTTACAAAGCAGAATTGTTGCCCAGAGAGAACAGGTGAAGAGTTCATATAACTTGACCGGTGTGCACTGGGAACGTCCACAGCAACAAAAGTCCATGTCAAGACACAAGTCTCCAAGGCTGGCCATACACGGCTCTGTTTTTCTCGATTCCTCCATCAATGCTACGAGTACGTTTATCGAGAATTCCCCGCTGTTCCTTTTGTATTCTTACATTGCCTGCCGGCCTCTGTCTCAATACCGAACAGATCCGCAGCTCATTGGTGGCCAGCTCTGCACCCACTGTGCAAATTTCCACAGGTTCTTGAGAATTCGCACAGTGTATGGCCACCTTAAGGTATCTACATATTTCAAGAGAATAGTTTTGCACCATTTTAATGAATGTGGCTAAATGTTTGTGCTCAGGAAATTCTAACTGGTGGTACGCAGTCCCACTCATGTGCCTGCTATAGCTAGCTTGTCTCAGTCCAGTGGGCAAACTTTTATTGAAAGTGGCTGATGATCAATGGAGAAGATGATTTTACATCATGAAATGTTCACTACTTAAAGCAGTCTGGCATACATTATTAACCCTTGCAGTGGGGCTACCCCCGCACTTTAAGCGTTAACTGCTCATTTTAGTCTAAGGCAGAAAATAAAGTTATACTCACCCGATCCTCTGAGCTGGCCAGCTGTGAGAGTGCTCCTTCAAGCCTATGTCCTCCTCCTCTGCAGTGATGGTATGTCCCTCGGTGTCCTAAAGTCCAATAAACAGTGTATTGGACGTGATGATTTTTTTTGTAAAGATTGTTTACAGTTAGCAAAAAGGAAGTGAAGAAAAAAGTTTTTGTTTGTAGTAGGAAAATGCTAAAATGTCTTGTTTGTATTGCTGTCTGTGTCCTTATTGGGAAGGATGTCTATCAACGAAGGTTGCAACTTTGTTGTTACAACCTTTTTTTATGTTCCTCCCTAGACCAAAATGAGTAGTTGACCCTTGCAGTGCAGGGGATTGTACGGTGTGGTGCGGTGTGTGTGTGTGTCCTGCCGCTACTGGTGCCACCATCGCCTTCCCGGTCTCCACTGTCCCCCGGGACTGGCATGGTGGGTCTCCCGTAATGGATCGGAGGGAGATCAGCAGGCTTCCAGCCACTGGTCCCTCCTCCGATCACTGGACCCGAAAGTGATGTGCATTACATCACTGAGGCTAGGTTTACACCTAGGCATTTCAGATGCCGAGCTGTTTTCGTGCGGTTGTCGCGTGTTTTCGATCGCGCGACTGTTCATTGTAAACCGTGCGATTGTTGCACGTTTTTCAATGCATAGAGATGACTATAGGACCCAAACTGCGCGACAACCGGCCGGAAACAGCTCCTGCACCTTTTCACACGACAGGCGATTTTGGTCGCCCCACAAACCGCAAAGGTGTGAGCAGCCTCCATTGACGTCAATGCGAATTTGTTTTTTGCGCGATATCGCGCGATAAATCGCTTAGGTGTGCACCGGTCCTTATAGTGTCACTGTGCACACTCTCCAGCTCTTAGAGCCAGAAGAAAAAGCTGGTGAAGCAGATCTCTGCTTCATCAGCTTCTTTGGGGTCCCTAGGTGACATTAGAGGTCTGAAAGATCTCTGTCTCCATAAAGAGGACCTGTCACATTATATTTGCTATTACATAGGGGGCTTGTTAGCTGGCGTGACCCCATCTTTTATATTTTACTAAAAAATTTAGTATTATAGTCTGTTTCTGTGCACTAAATGTCATTATTATTTTATTTTATCCTATAAATACGTGTCTGATACACATCTGTGCAAATACCATGCAACATAACAAATTGCAGCTAGCATCTTTTTATTCTACAGGGCCTCTGCTGTTTTAGTCTACAGGACCTCTGCTTTCAGAAAAATATATAATTGTTTGGGGGTCTGAATCTGTTTTCTAGCCAACAATCTTGATTTTATCATGTTTGAGCATATGTAAGAAATTGCTCCGGGTAGCAAGTGGTTAATGCTGAAAATAAATGGCTGATTTTTGGTGATGGCACCTTGCCTATGACTATCTGACAGTGACATACAATGTTGAATATGGAAATGTGCAGGCTCAGTAATATCCCTGTTCCGAAACTAGAACTAGTTGTGGTGTTGGTGGATAGCGGGAGAAATAATTTGTGGGATGTATGGGCAGCGGAGTGGGGTAAGTGCTAGGGAATTGTAATGTTTTGCCAGCGTAATTGTGAAATAGAGTTAAAATGGTGGATCATGTGAGATGATCTGAGGGTCATAGAGATACGAAAGCGGAAGAGAAATTGCTACTAGAGGCAGAATCCCCCAGGGGCACAACTCTAACCAAAGCAGCGTGCTGATTGCAAAAGTGAATATATATAGGCTGCAGCACTTACTTTTGGCACCTGATACCTTTTACAGAACACTTCGTCTTGTCTAATGATGGTTGCCTGTGAAATGTTTTGTTTTTTCATTACCCTGTGAAACTGAGTTAGTTATAAAGCAGACATTTACTGTATACCAGCTCATATATCAATTCCTGCCAAGTGATGTTTTGCCACATGCATAGTAGTTTTGTTGTCTGCTCATTAGGTAGCAATTTGTATATTAACACTTTAGATCCTTTTACTAGGTCTTGTGGTTCGGGAGGTCCAAATCGAAGTGTCCAGGCAGCAGGTAGAAGAACTCTTTGGTCTGGAAGATTACTGGTGTCAGTGCGTGGCATGGAGCTCAGCCGGAACCACCAAGAGCCGTCGGTCCTATGTCAGGATAGCCTGTAAGTTTGGTCCATTAGTTCTATAGGAAACTGGCTTGTCTAAGAACATCACTGTTATTGTAATGTGGATTGTCAGCTGTATTGACAACATCGCCATCTTGTGGTGATATTTGCAAAGTGAAGCCTTGCCCCTGATTGATTTCTAAATCACCAATGAGGCTATAAATGCAAGATTTCCGATAACAAAGGATAGCACTGATCTTTTATTTACATACATTTTCAGGGCATTTTAATATAGAATGACAACTCATTCAAAAGGTTTGTAGAAAATATCCCTGTTTTTATCTGCAAGTATTTAATTTGTAAAGCGCTGCGCAAACTGTTGGCGCTATATAAATCCTATATAATAATAATAATCTTGCTTTTATATAGCAGGTGGTATTTCTTGTAAGTTAATTTATTTTTCTTTGTGTTCACAGATCTCAGAAAGAATTTTGATCAGGAACCGCTGGGTAAAGAAGTACCTCTTGAGCAAGAAGTGTTACTTCAGTGTCGTCCACCAGAAGGCATTCCACCTGCTGAGGTAGGGTATCTCTGTTTTATTGTGTTCTTAGATGAGGGCTAAATAAGAAATCCATTGACTGGTTTGCTGACTTTTTATGTGCATACCTCCTAGCAGTCTCAATATTCTTTGTTGTTATTGATGACATTTTCAGTTCTAGCTAGCTTGCCAGAAGAGAATATAGTTTGCAGTCTCCTATTGTGTTTTGTTTTACATTCTAGAATGGCTAGAAGTCATATCACGATGTATAAAAAGGCTGTGATCTGAGGGTCATGGAGAGGATCTTTTTAACAGATTAAATTTGAGCATATAGCTAATGATGGGATTCTAATTCCACTTGCATACAAAAATTGCTGCAATTTAGTATAATTAAAATGTTCTACTTCTATAATGAGCAAGTTTATTTAATTGTTATATAGAAAGCAGATAGTCCAGAATTACAGCCACTTCCCCATCCAGCAGGAGCTACCACCTGCAAAGCCTTGATAGATAAATATCGGTAAAGGTAAGGGAGATAAATGAGCCGCATCCAAGTGAGCAGTTACGTTTAGTTTTGATGAATACATCCACTTTGCTATCCTATTTTATTACTGCTCAGTAGAATTATTTGTATGCTGTTACTAATGAGTCATTCTAATGTCTAATTGCTCTGCTACTTTTCACAGATATTCATTCACCAAGTGTTTGACAGAACTGGTTTACATAATGTTGCCAGTCTTATAAAGGCATGTTGCTGCTAAGTTGTTTTTAAAATGAACCCAGTGACTTACCCCTACAACACAACAGAGTCACCAAACTTACCCCAAAGCAGGACATAATCATATTGCCTTTACTCCCATTCTGCTCTCTTCAGCTCCTTGAGGTAAAGAGAGGTCGCACTGTGTAACCAATGTAATGTGACAGTGCTGGACAATTACCAAGCACTGGTGCTATCACATCACAGAAAGAGTTGCATACTCTGCCCTACCTGGAGGTACCAGGTATTATCTTTTGTGCCTGGAACAGTGTGACAGGTGAATAAAGAGAATCTGTCATGAGAAAATAGTGGAGGTTGCAATTGCTGAACTGTTCTTTAGAGAATGCTAGCTCTCTGGCTGGCATGGTGATGATTTGACTTCATTGCTGTCTGAGTCACAGACCTGAAGTATAGAGATAATGAATTCTGACAATTGTCTGACACATTTACAGCATGCTTGTTTCAGGTTGGTGACTTAAAATTAAACTGTATGTCCACTCAGCCAAATTGGGATAACACCTAGTGTATATTTGTTATTGTGAATGTTCCCATTTATAGTATAACAATCAAATATGTATATAGCATAACTTAAAATACTTTAAAAAAAAGTTACTTACCATTTACTTGCTGTTTTCTCAATACCCCAGAACTGAAGTTTTTCCATTATCTGCCATTTCAAGGAGGGGACTGGAGGGGGGTTTAGAGTTAATGTTTACCTTGATTTACTCTGCCTGTGCTGTGCTGGCAAATCTCATTTTCATTTGTAAACTAGAGTTGAACAATGTCTGTCCCAACAAAGAGTTAAAAATCATGGTTTTGTGTACAGACTCACAAATTGTTCAGACCAGCTTGCAATCTGGTCAGGGGCCAGCTCCAATGCAACATGAAAATTGTATTGGAAAAAAATAATTAAATAAATAAAAAGTTATAAAGGAATACAAATCCCAGCAATACATTATACAGCACAATGTACCATCAGCTATAGAGGAATACAAATCCCAGCAATACATTATACAGCACAATGTACCATCAGCTATAGAGGAATGCAAATCCCAGCAATACATTATACAGCACAATGTACCATCAGCTATAGAGGAATACAAATCCCAGCAATACATTATACAGCACAATGTACCATCAGCTATAGAGGAATGCAAATCCCAGGAATACATTATACAGCACAATGTACCATCAGCTATAGAGGAATACAAATCCCAGCAATACATTATACAGCACAATTTACAATCAGCTATAGAGGAATAAAAACCCCCAAAATACATTATACTGAATGCAAATCCCAGGAATACATTATACAGCACAATGTACCATCAGCTATAGAGGAATACAAATCCCAGCAATACATTATACAGTGCAATGTACCATCAGCTATAGAGGAATACAAATCCCAGCAATACATTATCATTATACAGTGCAATGTACCATTTGGGGGGAAAGTGCAGGCAGTGGGAGTTGGTGGGGAGATATTTCAAAGGGGGGAGGGGGAAACGTCTCCACCAACTTTCTTCCCTGAGATCGTGGTGTGGGAGTGTCTGTCGGCAGCTGCCGTCCCCCCATGCCTGCTCCTCCTGGCTTCAGTCTTCTCCCAGTCTGCTCCCCGTGTGGCGATTGTGGATGGTGTGGCAGTGGCAAGTCAGTGAGAGCTGGGTGAGGCAAGGAGGAGAACCGGGATGCGTGGAGCCGTGAGCAGGGCGACTAGTTGAATGCCAACTAATCGATGATTGAAAACGTTAACAATGTTTTCATCATCAATTTATAATCAACTTAGTCGATTTCGTTGTTGCAGCCCTAGACATAGTCATTAGAGAGCCCTTGTGCAAGAACAGTTTTTGGGCCCCCTTTCAACAACTGCATGAGTACCAATACTTATTCATGATTGATAGATAGATAGATAGTATAACTTTACGATACTTTGAACTTTCCATTTACTTTCAGTGCAGATGGTGTTTAGAGGAAATGGAAGACAGTGCCAGTGAGGCATTATACACTGCATGGTTTGAGCATCATTAGAAAAAACAAAAAATGCTTCTTACCAGTCCAGGACATAATCAGTGTCCAGATGTATGTTACAACAGGAAGGGTACCATTACCCACCTAACCCACATATAGTATAATTGAGCACCTTGGACAAATAAGGCCCTTTTTCAAGTGCACAAATGGTGGGTCCTTCCCAGTTGCCAAAAAGAGAAACCTAATTTCTATTACTGCAGTCTTTATGAGGTAAAAATTCAACACTTCAGGAGGGAAAACCCTGAAACCTAGGTGTTGTGACCTTGCCAATTAAATTCCTAAGGCATACAAGAAGGTGGTTTTTAATTTATTCCAGTCGCATCACATAACTAAATACTCGAATGAAGTGCATATTTTACTTCCTCTAGCCTATCCTTTGCTGTGTACTGAATGGTGGTGTGTTTCTCTTTGCATGTCGAGCTCCTGAGCTGTTTGAGAGATTTGAAAACCAGTGTATAACTCTTTATACTGAATTAGAGAAGCCATTAGCTTCCTATTTTAAGGGTTATTGCACACAATATATGCATATTTGTCTTCTGTATTGAAAGCTGCTCCTAATGGAAAATTAATGTGGATTACTTTGTGACATGTTTAACCTTTTCAATCATTTGCAATAATCCCCAAGCTTCTGCAGTTCAAAGATGACTAATTGTTGTTGATATTTCAGCCAGTAATGTGTTCTCTTTTTAATTATTTGTCATTTAAACGCCCGTCTCTTTTCTTCCCCTCCTTTCTCAATAGGTGGAATGGTTAAAAAATGAAGACATCATTGACTCCACACAAGACACCAATTACCTCATAACAATTGACCACAATCTCATAATTAAGCAAGCCCGGCTCTCAGACACAGCCAACTATACCTGCGTTGCTAAGAATATTGTTGCTAGACGGAGAAGTACCACAGCGACGGTTATAGTTTATGGTGAGGGTTTTTTTTATACTTCTGTGTGGGGTTCATATAAAAGGATACCTGCAAAATAATATTGTTCTTATTATTTTTTCCTTTGGCTCTTTTTTTTGGTACTATGAGACTTGTTTTTATATGTTTATATTCTAACGTTTGCTGTATTTACATTGAAATATTAAATTGATAAATGCTTGGCCATTTTTCAGATCTTTTCTAGAGGCATTTTTTTTTCCACCCAAACTATTTCACAAAATGTATTGAACTGGCTGATTACATACTGTTTACTGTATTCAATACAGCCATGCAAAGCACAGTAATCCATAGATACCACTCGGGTTTAATTTATCTAAACTTAGATCAGTGAAAGATGACTTCAGTTTCTTATGGGCTGCGGGGATGCCTTTCCCATTAGATACATTCAAAGTAGTGATTACCTGTTAATTCACAGAACAGAAACACAATCCTTTAGAAGTTGGCCAACCTAGACACCAGTTCTTTAAGTGTCCTTTAAGGGGAACTGTGCTTAAATGTTAGCTGGGATAGAAAGGTTAAGAGTAATGGAAGGACGGAACATACTTACCTTTCCTGGAGAAAATAAATCTCCATCCAGTTTTGGCTACATTTCTGAAGGGTTAGGCATGATTACATGATCTTTGCTGAAGAGTAGGATTAGCTAATCTGAACTCTGATCCTTCTGTTGAGATCACATGACAAAGTGCCCAGACATTGGGGTTTTTGACCACAACCGAAGAGACCCAGGAGCAACATTTTCTTTACAAAAGTTAAGCATTCTAGTCATTTTATTAGTCCTTTAATATACCCTCACACCCAACTAAGACTGCAATAGACTCTGTTATGTTTGAGGTCCTGCATTATATTGGCGGGCATGTTCAACAATTGGTACAAGGTTTTTACTTTAGGAAGCATTTGTTTTTACTGTTCTTTCTACATGTAAAAATACCATTTTGTTCATCTTGGTTCAGGAACAAAACTGAATTTGGTTGTGATTGTGCTTCAACTTATTCAATTGAGGTATAGTCATGATAAAATATATAATGACATTGACAATTTAGGTGTACAAGTTGTTTATCGTTTCTTTTTAAAATTCCCAATACCAAGATACCAAGGCTTATATGTAGAACAAAATAAAATATTTCATTAAAAAAGTAGGTGTTGCGGTACTTAATGAAAAGTACATCTGCAGAGATTTTTTTTCTTGCTCCCTGCCAGTGATGTACACCTAATGCACTCTGTGATGATTTGGCAGTTTTGCTGCACTGCTCCTGAATTTAAAGCAGAGTTGCCACTCTCGATTAGACTCTGCCTGCTTGCACTACAGTGGGGATGGGGCTACTACTGATTCACAAGCCTGTAGCTTGTCAATCATAACCTATCCACACCTAGTCCTGCCTACTGCTTTCTGGATTGTCAGCTCTGCCTCTGTTGCTGAAACCCTCCCACTGTAAGCTGCTTTATCTACGAGGGGAGTGTGTGAGACACAAATGAAAGAGGATATGGCTCAGTCAGGGAAGATGAAGGAAGCTGTTTGTTTACTTTATGAGGCTTGAGCATGACACAGCAACTGGATATGGGATTTGTTTAGACTGTTATGTTGGAGCCTTTAAATGTGCTTTAATATGAAATATTTAATCCACCCAATATACATTCCCTTTAAATATCAGTGGTATTTCAATGCAGTGTAAGCGAGGCGTCTGCCTATAAATCTGAATTGGTTTGATAGAGATTTGTGAAGACAATGGAAGAGAGTTAAGGAATTTTCTTGAGCTTCCACACGGAATGTCTTCAGAGTGAGACAGTCACATTTTGGCAACCAATTTCTCATAAATATGATAGCCCCATGTCTGTGTCTTGGGAAATAACTGTGGATGTCTAGCACAGAAATATATCCTGTCTGTAATCTCAAACCCATACCTGTCATGTATACAATCTGCAGTCAGTTTCATTCTGTGTAGCAATTACCAAAAACAAGCTGCCATAGCAGTTCTATTTCTCTAAAATAAGCTTTCCTGAGTATTAAGCTAAAAATACATAAAATCGGCACTAGGGACTTTCATTACTGTGTGATATTTTGAATTTGGAGGTATTTTAGATCAGTTTTTTGGGATACCACTTTCTGAATATTTTTTTGGTCCATTTTATTAATTAGACACAATCATCAGCAATATCTGTTCAATTTAAAGTGATACCTTATATGAAGGACTGCACCAAATAATTATTTTTTTCTTAACTAATGTTGTGTTTTGGATAACTGTCCAAACACAATATTTTAGAAATTTTTGGTATTTTCAGCAAGCACCATTATTTGTTTTGTTCCAAAAATCTTAGAACATTTGGGAAAACAAAAATAAATATTCATTTAACGAGGATATGTGAACAGCATGAAACGTTTATTCAGTAATCAGATTGTTGTACAGCATTCCTAAGATCTGATTGTTCTGAAAGAGAAGAGTACAAAGTGGATGCAGGAACTCAGCCAAATCCAGTTATGTCATGTTTAGATCTCTATGATAAGAATATAGGTAGACATTTTATATACTGCCGGGTACATATTGTATTATACAACAGAGCTGTATAATACACGGCTTAGCTTTTTTTATGTGAGGCATACAGATGTGTTCACGAAGTCAGTGCACAATTTGGTGGTGATGTACCAATCACAAGAATCCAAAGCAATTATTCACATTTCTGTTTTCAATGATTAACAATGATTACGGTATGTTCTGGGTGACTGGTTACTATTGGTTAGTGCTTATTAATTGTTGCCCTTTGCACCTACCTATTTTTAATACCGAAATAGCCCCCTTCAGTATTTGAATAAAGAGATCATATTAACAGCCCTCCAATATATTAAAAGATGTGAGTTTGATGAACAATTATACCCCTTCACTTTGCATTTTCCTTCCTAATGTTGTTTTCTTCTGTTGACCAATTGGTCCCTGTTGATTACCTATGACACTTGACAGCTAGTTTAGAACAAAAACCTGCTTAAAAGTCGATCTATCTGGGGTAAGATATTACCAGTCATAGAGCCAAAGTAATTACAGTACATTGACTGATGATGTTTAATGTTTTTCTGCACAGCAAAGCTTGCAATTCAAGTAGCAGATGTCTGGAAAATAAAACTAAGTACCGCTTAGCAACTCTCAATGTACTAAATTAATTACATCTGCTTATAATAACCATAGCACCTGTTAATGGGGTTTGTGTGCCAACTCTACCCAGCCGACAGTGGGTGGCATTGATTTTTCCAGGCTGGACAGTGGCTTACCAGATGGTTATAAATATTTTCAAGTCATTAGTTAAGACAATTGTTATTTTTCTCTCCTTATTTTTTTTTCTCTGCATGCTATTAGCTCTAATAGGTTTCATAAGTCATTAGTCCATGTTGCATCCATTTTTTGCTAATGAAACTGGAAGACAAAATGGCTTCTTTGTTATGGTGAACCGCATTTTATTTTTCTGTTGTAGTCAATGGAGGATGGTCATCTTGGTCAGAATGGTCTTCCTGTAATAACCCCTGTGGTCGTGGTATTCAGAAGAGGACACGGATGTGTACTAATCCAACTCCACTTAATGGTGGGGCCTTTTGTGATGGTCAACCACTTCAGAAACTTGCTTGTACAACCATGTGTCCAGGTAAGTTTCATTTCAAAGGCTGTCATCTATATACTAATGTTTCAGCTCGTACGTTGTATACAAATACAGTCTTTTGAACTGTGCCTTGTAGAGGTTTTGCTTTCCTAGCATTACTCTGGGCAGTTTGAAAGCATTATAGCTCCTGCTCAATCTATTAATGACTGACCTGTCATTTATAATATGTTGCATTTTTTTTTTAAATTACTGTCCTGTGTCCTTTGCAAGACTGTTGCAAATGATTTTACAGTAATTTAAAGTAGATCCAGTCTAATCACAATCTCAGATAATCTTTAACATGTAAATGTAATATCAACATTTATTTAAAATGTCTTAAATCTAAAGATTTCATTAAAATATTTGCCACAAAGCACACTTTTTATTATAAGATGACAACAATTTATCCCAATTGCTCTCCTGCGTTGTCCCCCAGTCACTTGCACTTCAGATGAAGACTTCAATGGGCCATGCACAGGGTTTTAAATGCTGTTATTGCCGCCAGAATGCTCACCTGAGCAAAGACCTGCACTCATTCATTAAGGGGCTCATATAGAAACCTTCCAACAAGCATAAATTCTTGGGCTCCCCATGCGAATGGCATTTGCTCAGCTTTACATTGGGCTTAAAGTTTATACATGACCCCTAAATGACTGAAAGAGGCCGGAGAAGATCAGCAGATCATTTGGTATACTAAATGTCATCCAGGTAGGGTTTAGCTTTTTTTCATTTCGAATTTGTGTAATTTTTTATCTTACACACAACAGTGTGTCCTTTTGGTGGCAAATATGCAATATCTAGGTCACGTTTATTAAAACATCTGAATGTATAACCGTCTGTGTTGACTTGTATCAGCTAAACAAATTAGACCTGCACTGTAAATTACAATGGGAACCTGAAGGTTTGAATTGAATGGTCATTATGGGACAATACAGACAGTTCTTGCTGATAAATGAAGCTTACTGTCTGTGTTTGCTCCTTAATACCCCAGTCATATTTCATCTGCTACTACAGGATGTATATTGTAAGTAAAATGGTAGTAATGAGGCACGTACACAGTTCTTGTAATTTGCTTTGTTAAATCCCATTTTCATAATAGGCTTCTTTACCTGGCCTTCTCTTTCTATTCTTCTAATTTGCTGTATTTTTGGATTCAGTTGACGGTGGATGGACTGAGTGGAGCAAGTGGTCAGCTTGCAGCACTGAATGCACGCATTGGCGAAGCAGGGAATGTAACGCACCCACTCCTAAAAATGGTGGGAAAGACTGCAATGGCGTGCTCTTAGATTCCAAAAACTGCACAGATGGCATGTGTATGCAGAGTAAGTGTTGGCTACTAAATGTGTTGAATTAAATTCCAAACCATAAAAAGTATTTGTTATAGGTGTTTAATATTAGCCTGAGGGCTGCTTGCCGCAGCTTGTTTATATTATTGTGATTAAGATGCACAATAAAATAATTTCCCAGTGCTCTTTAAGGACATCTTTACGTATATGTAAGCTTTTGCTAAGCCACCACGTCCTCGAGCTGAACTACAATAGCCTTACCCTATGCAGCTGCCTACATTACTTTGTTCCAGAGCAGTGGCCTCCTCAGTTGCTAACAGCCTGTCCGAAGAAAGTCTGTTTAGCTCTGGCCAAAGACACTTCAGAGTTACTTGACTTGAATGGGCTTTATATGAAGACTCGAAATACTGCTCTATTTAAGGAGACTTTGTGAGTAGTAATGTCCAGTGCTGAAGAGATTTATGTTAAACAGGCTCTGAACAATGGTGAAGGCCGCAGCTCTCTTACTATGAAAATAAGCAGCTTGGGAAGGGGCAGTGGCTTCTGTATAAGTTTGGATGAAGGTACAACTGTACTTTAAAGTGCCTCATATATTCAACAATACAAAATAGTGATTATAGTAATGATATGTAATTTTGATAATAGTGATACCATTTGCAGCAAGCTAATGTGTTGGTCGTTAACAGAACACTTAGGATAATACAAGCTGACTCATCTAAAGAAGAAATGATGTATATACACTGCCTGGCCAAAATAAAAAGGTCCCCAACCGGATTTCGGGCAGTGTTAAGAGTTGGGGTTGCTTGGGTTGGTCAGGTCTAGGTACAGCAACATTCTGTGCCCAAAAAATGAGGTCAGCTGCCTGCCTTGAATATACTAAATTACCAGGTTTTTCCATCAATTGATTTTTTTTCGTTCCTGATGGCACGGGCATATTTTAGGATGACAATACTAGGATTCATTAGGCTTAAATTGTGAAAGAGTGGTTTGGGGAGCATGAGTCATAATTTTTACACATGGATTGGCCACCACAAAGTCCAGACCTTAACCCCATTATGCATCTTTGGACGGAACTCTGGAAGGGAATAAATGTGATATTGCATAAGCTTATCGAAACTATGCCACAGCGAATGTGTGCTGTAATGAAAGGTGGTCCGACTTTTTTGGGCCAGGCAGTGTGTGTGTGTGTATATGTATATACAGTGTGTGTGTGTGTGTGTGTGTATATGTGATATATATATATATATGTGTGTGTGTATGTATGTATGTGTGTGTGTGTATGTATATATATATATATATACACACACTCATTTTTAATGCCTTTACGTTTTTATATGTTTAAGCCTCTCAAAGTAGACCTTTTGTGATTTATTAGCTCTGACAAATTAGCATTTATATCAATCCCAAGTATTGGTTGTGAGAATTCCTTTTGTGCATGTAGCTTTTTAAATCTCATTAAGGTGTGCTTCAGTCAAAATAGGAAATAAAGTCTTAAATGCTTCAGGGAACACACTGTACTTGCTCTGGGCTTCTATTTATCATTCATGCCTGTAGTGGTCCACCCTAGTCTTTTGTTGTTGATCAGGGAACACCTAGTTTAATTGCAGGGGAGAGATTTCTAAACACACCCATTATATGAAATTTGACCGAGTCTCCAATCAGGTTTAAATTTTCATTGGAAGTTTAAATAATATTGATGATACTTGAAGTGGAGAGAGTTTCGCACAAAGATACAGGAAGGTCACCAACACACCTGAAATGTAGGAATTGACTTCAGTGGACTATCAACATTTAGAAGAGTTGCAGAATTTCTTAAAAAGCGTTTGCAGTTCACTTGTTCCCCACAACTGTTCTGTACATTTTGGCTGATAAGACATTATTATAGTATTCCCTAACATACCTTTTGCATGTAAATTACAGTCATACTTTCACTTGCATGCTGATGAGATGTCAGAAAACTGCAAAGTTACTATTGTTAATGATGCCACAGATGAGATTTTTGCTTCCGTTTTTCGGAGTGAACGCCATCTGACAGGGTTTCACAGTTACATTCCATGACAGTTTCAATCACAATCCATTACCATGTAATCTGTGTATTTCTTTTTAATTTTCTTTTCATTGTCATTCATTGTATTTGCTCCATTTTTTTTTTGCCAGGGTGACTAATTTCATTATGGTTTTTGTTTCTAACAGACAAAAGAGTTTTAGGTGAACCAAAAAGCCATTGTAAGTTTCATTTCATCACTTTCATTTTAATTCATCTTCTGAGTTCTGTTATCTTATTTTGCATGAGCGCTGATCTGTTACCTGCACTTTGTGTAATTGTGGAGGTTACCATATAATATCATGAAGTCTGCTGCTGACTTTAAACAATACTGTAATCTGCAGTATTATAAATCATTATTGTAAGCCTAACTACGGCCATATTAAAAGGCAAGCAGAATAATCAAGATTGTAAATGGGCATTTTTTTACCTGGTGCTCTTTATTATTATTATTACAAGAAATAAACTTGTCCTTATGGGGAAGCTGTACATTTTGCACAGTTCTTATGCTTATACAAACACAGAATTGTCCTAAAGCAAAACAAATAACATTTTAGATACTTTATGAGCCTGTACAGTCTAATATATGTTCATATTGTTCAGTGTGCTTTTCAGGTAGCAATCAGCACACAACTGAAGCAATAAAAGTAATAGGCAACTGCATTTCAAACACCACCAATAGCAGGGCTGTGCTGTGCCACCGCAACTCCCTGAATTGAGCCAAGTGATGGCTTTAAAAGCATTCTTACTGCCACAGTGCGAGCCTTTAAACAAGAACTCTGGGTGAATCAAATCTTAACCCTTGCAGTGGGGCAACCCCCACACTGTAAAGGTTAAGCACTTGCTTTGTCTAATGATATACTCACCCGAACCGCGATGCCGGCTTGGTCCCAGACTGGTCCCTTCAGGCTGTCTCCTCCTCACTTCAGTGATGGAATGTACCTCAACGTCCTCACAGTATATGCACTGTATAGGACGTGATGACTACCAAGATCTTGGAGCAGAGGGGGAGCGAGGCTGAAGGGACCAGTCTAAGAGCCAGCCAGGATTGTGGTTCGGGTGAGTATATTTGTTATTTTAGTTCCCCTGAGCACTTTAACCTTTGCAGTGTGGGGGGCAGCCCCACTGCAAGGGTTACGATTTTATTTGCCTGCAGTTCATCTTTAAGGTCCTGTCTTGAGCATAAAAAAGCTGTTGCCTTTAGCAACTGATCTGGTATTAGGTTTGTGATGCAGGTTGAAACTAAAATAGCCCTTAATTGCTTATTATTCGCCAAAACCCTATTTTACCTTTGCATGCTGTTTGTAAACAAAATTAGCCCTTCAGATTTTGTAATGTGCTATCAATTAAGTAGTCTGGTTAAACTTAACTAAGGAAAGGCATTGGGATAAACTGGATATATTAATGAAATGGTATTGGCTAAAAATCCAATTCAAATACAATCCTAAGAAGTATACTGCTGCTTTCTTCAAATAGGAGAGAGTGTGTCATCACGTACATCACAGGTCCAACAAGGTTTTTTATTTCCTATTTAAGCAAAGGCAGCAGAGTTTCCCCAAGTATCTCTAACATCTGGCCTATGCATTGGTGTTAAGCAAACCCTAGCACTTAACTCCACCACTGCTCAAACCACAACACTAAACCCTCCCTCTACTCAAACCTTAACACCTAAATCTCCCTGTACTCACACCTAAATCTCCCTGTACTCACACCTAAATCTCCCTGTACTCACACCTAAACCTCCCTGTACTCACACCTAAATCTCCCTCTACTCACACCTAAATCTCCCTCTACTTACACCTAAATCTCCCTCTACTCACACCTAAATCTCCCTCTACTCACACCTAAATCTCCCTCTACTCACACCTAAATCTCCCTCCACTCACACCTTAACACCTAAATCTCCCTCTACTCAAACCTTAACACCTAAATCTCCCTCTACTCACACCCTAACACTTAACCCCCCCCTTCAAACCCTAACACTTAACCCCCCCTTCAAACCCTAACACTTACCTGTTCTCAATCCCTAGCCCCTAATTCGTCCTCTACCTAAACTAGAACACTTAACCCCCATGCTAACAGCTTAACCCTTTACATATAACCTGCACCTTAATGTTGAACTTAACAGAAAATGAACCTCTACAACAGCATACTTACCTTATTGGACATGTGAAGGCTCTGTGTCAAATTTCCAATAGCCCTGCAATAAGGCCTCTGTGCTGAACAACAAATGATCGCTGGGCAGAGCTATGGATATCATTTATACCACTGTGCCGAACCATACATGTGGATCCAGGAGTTTATAGCAAAGATACAGTCTAAAATTACAGATCATTTTATTCCAACTTGGATGTATCTGTATAGTCATAACTAGAGCAAGATATGTAATCTATCTAATGTGAAGTAGGGGTTGGAAAGTACACAGAATAACTAGATAAATAAATTATACAATTGTACCATATTACCAAAGGTACATATTATTATCGTGGACAAAATTGTACATGGATAAAATCTATACCACATTTGCTGTGAGAGCAGTTGTCCTTGAAGCTTCTTCTAGAAAGAGAAGTAGCCATATGTTTATCAAGCAGATGCATTTTGCAAGTTCTTGAACCTGACCAGAGGGAATGCTGTACACAAAGAATTCTAGGCAGTATAATAAAAGAGGATGAGTTGTGGATGACAGAGATGTCAGGGAAGTTTTGTTGTAGAATATGAGAACTGCACATTGATGAAATGAGTCATTTCTATAGAACGAAATTAACAAACACTAGTTACATAATGTCTGAACAGAGCCTTACAATATATTGATAATCACTGTAGTATATACATTTTGCTAACTGTATTTATATGTACAGTATTTAGACTATAGGAGAGCTGGCATTGAATTTTATAGTACAAAATAGCCGTGCATACCTTTTTATGTACGTTTCTTTATTAATGTTAGCACCTTTTGTGTTGATTCAATTATTCTTTATATGATGTCTGCAATAGCAGCACTTTCTGTCTCTACCAGTGTTCATTTTTTTTTCTTTCTGTGCACTGTTTGTTTTTTGACAATCAACGCCATCTTGTGTCCTTTTTTTGTGTAGCATTTGTTATTATTTTTGGCCTAGGGAAATTAACAATTACCTTTTTACTAATATTCAGGTGGAATCCTAACCAAGTTTAGGGCAGTGACTGCTAAAATCCTGTTTCAATGAGAGCACCTCAGCTTTTCTTTTCTATTTTTTTTTTTTTTTATAAAGTAGTTTGTAATAAATGGTCATCAACTTCAGCTGGTCAGGTCAATTTAGCCAGACTTCACAATGCTCCAATGCCTATCGCAAACTGTGTACACCACTGGCCAAGAGGTCTCTAGCTTACTGTGGTGTAGGCCTGGGCCAGATGTGCTTGCATGTTTCTGTACCTCCTGTTTCCATATCTTAAACCTGAATGCTTGGATGACCCATATTTATGCTCTCAGTTCCCTGCAAGACAATATTATTGTGTGCGCATGTCCATTGACCCACATATTATTTTTATTGACATCTAGGTGATCATCAGCTGTTTGTTCAGTAATTTACTGTTTTCTCTTCATTAGTGTTGGACTCAACGGGGGACGTTGCACTGTATGCCGGACTGGTTGTTGCCATTTTCATCTTCATTGTTATACTCATGGCTGTTGGCATAATTGTGTACAGACGCAACTGCCGAGATTTTGACACTGACATCACAGATTCCTCAGCAGCCCTTACAGGAGGCTTTCATCCGGTGAACTTCAAGACTTCCAGGCACGGTATGTCTAATGTGCTTGACACCCTTACCTATGCACTACTGTGTGTGTTCATTAACTGTCGCCTTATGAGGTGCGGCCAGATGGTCATAATAAGAAAACAGATGAGGCTTATAACGACAGTATTCCATTCAGGGAATTGTAATTACACCTTTATATTTTGTAATTACAGTATACAAATCCGTGACACATGTTAAAGATAGAAGTCGTCATGATAAGATATATATTCTCATTCTATAGAAGTGAATATCATATATTATTACTAGGTTAAGGAAATGTAATAAGTTCTGCAGCTAGCTTTTTTTTTTAATAGCATGTTCAGTTGCTGTATATTGTCACTGACTGAATATGGTGATCTTGTTAGTTCAGTGCATTTGTGTAACTATTGAGCAAATACACACTATTGACTTGAACAAAAACACTAAAAGACGTAATCATGTCTTGAAGAAATGTTTATGTAAACCTGTTTCAATTAAAATTAATAAAATCTTGACTCTTTTTCTAGATAATTCTCATTTACTACACCCATCGATGCAGCCAGATCTTACAGCTAACGCTGGGCTATATCGAGGGCATATGTATGCCTTGCAAGACTCTGCTGACAAAATCGCCATGACTAACTCTCCATTGCTGGATCCCCTCCCAAACCTAAAGATTAAAGTCTACAATTCATCGACAGTGGGATCATCACCTGGAATACAAGACAACCTGCTTGGTTCAAAGTCTGTAGCGTCGTATCCATCAGACACTAACCTCATTAATGCAAGAAATAAAACCATGAGTAGCCAACACTTGTTGACTTTACCCCGTGACTCCAGTAACAGTGTGACAGGCACATTTGGGGCTCTAGGTGGAAGGCTAACATTCCCAAACACAGGTGATCTCATAATTTCTAATTTGTCTAATTAACTTTGTATTTGGCTAAATGAATAGTATTAAAGTTGAAGGATTTTATTGATGCTTGTGTCTCCAGTAAGGAGTTTACCTTCCTTCCTTTTTTTCTATGCAAATGACATAGCAGAAAGTGTCAAGAAATTGAGGGGGATTCATCATTTGACAGTTGACAACAGTATCCCAACTGTTCCCCATTCTGCTCAGATTTCTATCCCTCATGAAGGGAGTCTTTAAGAACTCCTGAAACACATTGGATTTTTAACGGAATGCTAAAAAAAAACTTTACCGGGACCTAAATATTACTCTGGCACATTTCTCTTTATGATTTTTAATATGTTGATACAATAGTCTAGTCATGGCCCCTGCATACCAGAGAGCAGCCTTCCAAAAGCTTCCACAACAAACGATATGTACAATTGGTCACCTACCTACACTAGGGAACACAAGAATCCACCACATTGTCTTCAAGGTGGGTAGGGTAGGTGGTGGTAGGTGGATAGGTTAGGGTAGGAAACACTTCCCTACCCTATCCAAGGCTAGGCAGAAAAGCTGTGGGTGCACATACACTGTAAGCAGTATTATACAAAAACAGGTAATTATTATGATGAAAGCAGACATTAAAAATATGTGTAATTGAAAAAAATATTTTTTACATATTGCCTGAACTTCCATTTACCAGGCTACATTCATATCTAATTAAAATTATTATTTAAAAAACAAACATTGTAATTACTGTTGTGCTCTTTTGCTTTATTGTTTGAGAGCAGTCAAAAAAAGTGTGAGGTTTGTTTTCTGTTTCCCAGACAAATTTCAAAAAAATCTCATTCATATCCAAAATATGTTTTGGGTGCATATTTTTATATGAAATTACATGAAATGCTGTAGCAATGTTGTTGATTTGATATTATGCGCTTCAGCACAATTAGGACTGAAAATAACTTGCATTAACTAAAAATGGCAGTTATGGCTCCTAATAGCCCAGAATGTTGTGAATATGCATGTAGTTATAATTTTATTCTTCTCTTGCACATTTAGAATTCAACATCTATGTGTGGTGAAAACTGCCGGTAAATTATAACATTACACCCAACTACCACCACAGAAAATCTAAGCTAAAGAAAGTGGTTATACTTCATGACATAATTATGTTCTATAGCCAACAACCACTAGACAAAATATTCTAACTTGGAGCTTACACAGGACTTTCTACGTTGTACTGCCGTGAATGAAGTAGTTGTGGAGGGCAGGGAATGCAAATAGTAGTAGTGGAAGAAGCAGCCTGTAAGGAAAACCTTACATAGGTTAAAGTTCTGTTCTGAAGGTCACATTGATAGATTTAGAAAATATTAATGGATCAATTTTGTATGTACGGTAACTGTTTATTAAACTAATCAAATTGTGTTTAGTCGCTCTTTAGAGTAAACCTGTCACAAGCATAAGCAATTCAAACTAGAGATATAAGTAAATGATAAGCAGATGACACATTAAGTGAAAACCAAATGGCAAAATGATCAGTAGATCCAGATAGCTGAATGCAAATCTTAACCTTTTCTGCAAAGGTTTCACGTGGTCCCATCCCTACCCACCTCCTGAACCTCCCCTTTGATCACTGAGGCCACCCGTTTATTAAAAGACAAATAGGGAATCAGGTGGGGGTAGGTCATACCTGTATCTCGGGATATTCTCATATAGTTTTCCAGTAAGGATATCCTATGATGTTTTTTTAATCATATGCTTAGTTTGTATTGCCACATTTATGCCAGATTTGCTTTTGGCTTTGAATTCTAAAAAAGGAATCTTACCCCCAAATAACTTGAAGTAATTAAATTATATGATCATAAAACATTTATTCTTTTTAAGGGTGAATATATTAAAAAATGTATGAAATGTTACATGCCTGGGACTTAATACTGATATATTTAATTTTCCAGGGGTGAGTTTACTGATACCGCATGGAGCAATTCCACAAGGAAAATACTATGAAATGTATTTGATGATAAACAAAAGAGAAAACACTGTGTAAGTAAATGATCTCTCCTATGGACTCCTCGTGGCTTTATACTTACTGACATTTGTAGATATGTTTTTACTTTTTTTTTGTGTGTCCATGTCCTCCAGTTTTATTCAGTCAAATAACTGCATACAGCCTATATTTTCTTAGTTGACTGTTTTATCTGCTGATTAAAAATTATCCCGTTCAACACAAAAACACATAAGTTGCCAATTCATAACTATTATTCATTTAGCTGCTAAACCCAAGTATCCAGGAGCCATACCATAAACATACTTGGCCATGCAGAATTGCAGTTAAATGTAGAAGATTCATATGTTCAGTCTGCACGCTGAGGTTAGTCTGTGGAAAATGGCCATACAATGGATGCACACATCCACACTATCTCTTTTCCATACCATTTAATATTTGATTGCGAGCCAAATGTGTAAGCAGTAGTGGTAGATATTGGGTCTAAAATGGCTTTACCTGCTTTGAGAAGCCAGTGATCACACATCTGATGGTTATAATATACTGAAATTATTTATGCATTATCATACGGTAAAGTGACAACATTCTTGTGGCTTCTCTTGCAGACTACCTTCGGAAGGTACGCAGACAATTTTGAGTCCTATTGTAACTTGTGGCCCCACTGGACTTCTCTTGTGTCGACCAGTCATTTTGACCATTCCTCATTGTGCTGATATCACCACATCCGACTGGATTTTACAGTTGAAAACTCAGTCTCATCAGGGAAGCTGGGAGGTAAGATCGAGGATCCCAACAAAAAGTGTTTAGTTAAAGATTTCCTACAGCTCTTGGACTGCAGAACAACTTGATTATTTTTTACCTATAAAAATCCTTATTGTTTTATTTACTTGCTTTAAATGTTTTTTTTTTATTACATACGGTTTTGGCAGTGAAAGGGTGCTTGTGACTCCAGAACAGCTTGCTCAGGAGAAAATTCTAATTAAGGACAAGTGAGTTTTCAGTCAGTATTCCTGTGAAGAACCAATGCTGCTTGGGCAGCAATTGAAGTGGACACCTTGTGGAAGGGTGTCCATGTCAAGGCTCTTGTACCCAGGCCAGGGGTTCGCTGTCAACCCCTGCTGCTGATGCAGTGTCACAAGATGGATTAGAGGAGTTCATGAGGATGACACAGAAAGTGTGTGTGTGTCTAGGTCTGCTATCCTAGACAGGCAGGCCTGTCTAGGACGTGCAACTTTGTAGTGGTGAGAAACCAGAGATTTTGTTAGTGAATGAAGCTAGAACAAACCCCTGCGAAAGAAAATGCTGTTTTTCCTACACTGTTTGCTGACTAAACATGTGCAGAAAGTCCTAAGGCGCACTCTAGCACGTGGACTGGCTCATCACAAACTCCATTTCAAACTAAATCAGCCTGTATTTCATTAAATGCAGATTTTCATCAGCCTACTTGTTTGCTAAATTAATGTTTGTTTTGTTGTTTTTCAGGAAGTTGTGACATTAAATGAAGAGACTCTTAACACACCATGTTACTGTCAGCTGGAAAGTCAGTCTTGTCATATTTTACTTGACCAGCTGGGTACCTATGCCTTTGTCGGGGAATCATACTCCAGATCTGCTATCAAGCGGCTCCAGCTGGCAATATTTGCACCTATTCTTTGCACTTCGCTGGAATACAACCTCAAAGTCTACTGCTTAGAGGACACACCTGATGCATTAAAGGTAAAAGAAAAACATTTTGTGCTTTGGCTTTTCTGTTTTCGAATTTGCTATCTATAATAACATCACTCATCACTAAATTTATTTCCCAAAAGCTAAGTTCAAATGGACCATTCATTAAAATGTCAATTTCATATTAATTGGGAGCTTATCAGAATGACCAAATTACATTAATATTTTGATTCAATAGAGAACAAGTAGTGCCTTTATATTGGCCCTATCAACGTAATTCCACAGCAATTTGTGGTGGGTCCTGGATCTATAGAAGAATTGTAGATATTTCCCCAGATGCCATTTTTGGAGAGATTTCTCAACAATGGCTAGTTCAAGGATAAGTAGCCCTAAAGGAGCCTCTATTCTTCTTAGTACTGCCTAGTAAAATTATGTTCAATTTGGGAACATTTTTCATATGTGTCCCCATGCAAGCTGCCAGGCCTTCCTTAATTTGTTATCCATTGTTAACAAAAAAGGCAATTCTAGAGAGGGTGAAATACTTCGACAAGAGCATGATGTACGATTAAGCAAAATGTCATACTTCTTGTTAAAGCAGACTTGTTTGATGATCAGTGCAGACTAAAATGTAATAATGTTCAGTGATGGTGGACTTCACACATTCTGTACGTAATAGATCACATTAGCTTGAGTCGGTTTTGTGGCATTTCTGGTTAATAAAGTAAAGCTGTTTTTTTCCCAGCTGTTAACCTAAACTCGTGTAACCTGGAAATCTAGCTATTAACTATTATAAATCAGGCACAAAATTGGGTTTATTCTGGAACATTAATTAGCAGACCTTTCGTCGACGCAGAAGCTGAAACACTCTTTTTAATCTTAAAAAGAGCAAGCTAATTAAAAGTAGAAAACTGTTTCCTATTTTACCGTTTTAAATATTCAAATGATGATATTACGGCAACGTATACTTGTCTAACCTTATAGCTCCCAGGTAATTAATGTACTCGGAGAGCTGCCTCAGTGTTTAAAGGGCAAAATAAAGTAATTATTTTTACTATTTCTCCGTTTTGCACGCCAGTGTGCAAATGTCTTCCTCATAACCTCATTATCTCAACAGATAATTTCAGAAAACAAAGTTAACTGGGACATTACATAATAATCAAGTTGAAATTCAGGTTGTGTGTTTAGTTTCGTGTACTTCAGATTCTCTAGGACCTCTCAGCAGGCCCATCTCCTTCTAAGTATTTATCATCAATATTATTAATAGTCTAATCCAGTATAATTGTACTAGAATAAAGTTTCTTATGCAACATGTTTACTGTTTTTTAAGTTCAATTTATGTTGACTTGATTTGATTAACAAGGCAATTTGTCACGTTCTGTGGACTGGGGCACTGGGACACATGAGCTCTGGGTTTTGCAAAGCGGTCTGAAGCAGAGAATGGGACTGGGAAGCTGAAGTGATACCTGGGATGCAGGTCACAGGGAACCTAGGGACTAAGGTGGCTTTGCGATACAGGGGCGTCCAGACACAGGGGACTAGGACAGGGTGACTGCACAATAACCGGGGTTATGCAAGAGGCGCAGAATCTAAGGAGGGCCTAGTCTTCCACAGAGCCTCCACTGGCGATTACGATTGTGCGGCAGGACACCTCCCAGGTTGCAGCCCTCTGACACAACCGTGCAGACACGACTGTCCTGCTACTCTGGGGAACTGGACTCAGTGGCAGGTAGGGGCTACGGATACACAGAGATATGCACTGGGGAACTTGCTTAGCACAGGGGCCACAGAAACCCGGCGAGATGTGCACAAGGGTAGGTGCGTAGAGCTAAAAGATGCACTCGGGAATACACTGGGAGATGTGCACTGGGAGACATGCGTAGCAGAGAGGCTATGGATATACCGGGAGATGTGCACAAGGAATGCACAGAGGATTGTGTGTTGCACTGATGCACACAGGGGAATACACTGGGAGATGTGCAAAAGGGAATGTGCGTAGCACAGGAAGATACATACGGGAAGGAGCAAAGCACAGACACTAAAGGAGACCGATAACGAAACACATGGAAAGGAGTGCGAGATATACAGGAACACTGGGAACAGAGTCACAAAGAACGGAGCTGAGCAGGCAGGTAAATGCAAGGAAGGCATACCAACAGTACTCACAGGGACTCACTGGGAACTAGAGCAAACAGGGACACAAGGAACAGCACAGAGGGAAATAACCAAACTGGGAGATCACAGGGCACACAGGAGGAAACCTGAAAGCACAAGGATCCAAGGAAGCACAAGGACGCTGGAATCCAGGAAAGCACAAGAACACAGGGAATCACGGAGGGTCCGACACTAGGGAACAGAATTATTGCTCGAACCTTGTTGCTCGAAGTAATTCTAAATAGGAGAGCAAGTGTGCAGATTGGCTGTAGCCCTGTGCATCACCATAGGCTAACAGCCAAAAACCTGGGAAAAGTCAGGCACAGAGGCAGGACACTAGGGAAAATCCGGCATGGATTCCAGGACATTGTAACATGATTCACCTATATGCATGTCTTTTGCGGCTGTCAGAACATATTTTCTCCTTATTGTGATTGGCTGAGCTTTTACTGATAGTAAAGATAACCCCTTCCAAAGCTGTACGGACTAGAGGAGATTTGACACTTGCAGTGTGGAGACGGTAGCCAAGGTTTGAACTGATGTGTAACTTTCTTAATATATTTTAGTGACCTTGAAATACTTTAGGGATATCTGAAAAATAAATCATTTTGATAAAATAAATTTTTCATTAAGGTTTATTACAGTCAAGTAAAAAAATATGCGCAGTATCAAGTTAGCATAAAGTAAGTCCTTTTCATAATAAAGACAAAACATAAAATCTTTTTTGCTTTGCCTTGTACACAGGAAGTTCTGGAACTGGAGAGGACCTTAGGAGGCTATCTCATAGAAGAACCAAAGCCACTGATGTTTAAAGACAGCTATCACAACCTACGCTTGTCTATTCACGATATTCCTCATTCATTGTGGAGGAGCAAATTATTGGCCAAATTTCAGGTCAGTGGGTTTAATCTGACAACAATTCCCTATTCGCAGCATTCTGTGTGTGTGTGCGTGTGTATGGGATTAAAAATGAAACTTCCACCAAAATGTGGTATTTTTCCTGTTTTGGATAGCGTGTAGAAGGGTTAGACCTGTAGACACTGTCAGTGCGACAGGAAGTGATGGGAAAATCAAACATTTCTCATTTTAGAGGTAAAAAATCTACCGTTAGGGAGACCTGTTTAGGTGACAACTGTTAAGATTTGGATTTCTTTTTCTTTTCGGTAGAGTTCCACTAATTTCCTGTCATGTTGGCTGGAATTTGAATTAAGCCAGCTTCAGCCAAAATCTGTTGTTTTGTTTTGGGTTGTGCGGGTGATGGGGGTATTTTATGTTTCCCTATTAACCCTTTCGCTGCCAAGGACGTATGGCATACGGACCTACAAAAGTGCTTCCAGCTGGCCAGGTCAGTATGCCATACGGACCTGGCATTTACAGTTCTACTATAAGCTGATGGTCGCTTTAGCGACCATCAGCTTATAGTTGCAGAAAATTCAAAAATGGCTTGGCCAGCTGATTTGAAAAATGTTCCGGAGGGCTTGGCAGCGAAAGGGTTAAGATGTCCCCTTAAAACTTGTGACACTTTTTTTGCATTAGGAAGCTTCCTTTCCTGAAGACATCTGCACACCCCATTTCTTCTAAAGGACAGGTTGTGAGGAAAAATCTTCCCAATGACAAACACAACAATAAATATTTTTAGAGACGTTCTTCTCCTTACCATCTTTATAGAAAACAAGCAAAAACTTTTGACTGTACATTAGTATTTCAACTGCTAATTCTACAATGTCTGGATGCTGCTGCATGTCAATGGCTGCTAGGGGGACTTTTTAATATTGTCTTCACCCAATTAATAAAAGTGTATGCTTTTTACAGGAGATTCCTTTTTATCACATCTGGAGTGGAAGCCAGAGAGCGCTGCATTCTACATTCACTCTGGAGAGGTATAGTCTGGCCTCAACAGAACTAACATGCAAAATCTGTGTGAGGCAGGTGGAAGGAGAAGGACAGATTTTCCAGTTGCACACAATGCTGGAAGAGGTATGGATTTACTGTTAAGGACTTAAAAGACTTTTTTTAATGCTTAAAGTCCATTTCCACCTTTGCAAGTGATTTTCATTTATTGTGGTAATGTAGAGGTGCATTGATGTTGTATACATGTGAACATTTTCATTATTCACATTGCAGGCTTTGTTAATTTTTTATATGAAGGTTTTATAAGCCTAATTCTCATTTTATCTTTTTATTTTTTTATATATCTTTTTATTTTTTTATATTTTTTATAACTCAATTTTCGAGTTTTCTCCCCTCCTTGGTCTGTTTGTAAACTGATACTGGAGCTTAAACACAAATATTGACTCTTTTATATAGATATATGGCACATGACTTAAAGACAAACTGAACTCTGGAAGCTTCACCCAGAGGAAAGGCAGGCAGGGGGCACATGTCTAGTCACCAGTATTGCTATTGATCTCCCTTGAGCTGATCTTTACCCTGTTATCGACTTGCTATGGCTTGTTCTGCAATATGTCTCTGTGTTGAGGTTTCCATCTTGGTGGGGGCAGGGTTTTGTTTCCTTATGTCGGAGCCTCCAGCAAAGAGAACAGTGAGCAGCATAAGTGTCATCCCCAAATATCAGCCTAAATCTCCTAAAATGTGCAGTCACAGACAGGAGCGTCTAAAAATCACTCTGCAGATATACAGCTATTGGAAAAAGAATGCCAATGCACCCGCATATACCAAGGGGTACACTGCAATTTTTTCTAGAGGAATTCTAAACAAAAGGTAGCATCAGGGTGCTGCTTAGGCTAAGTTAGTCTTTCTAGATGTCCTCTATAACAAAGCAAATCTTCATTTATGAGTTCAGGCCCACATTAAGGATCTCAGTTTCAGAATAAGTGCATAATTCTTAAGTGGAGTTCCTCTATGTAAAACTTCATCCATGAATGTCACACACTAAAATGGAGGCATCAAAGCCATGCAGCTTAGTAGCATTTATTCTGGTGCTCAAATGAATCTGAGAAATCCCCCAGTGTCAACAATTATATTGGGCGTTTTAGTGACATTTTGTTGCTGGTCAAATGGACCTTATTCTTCTGATGGCCTTGAAGAGCTGCAGAAATTTTTTCCAATCATGCCATGACAGGAAACACTGGCAAATACCAAAAGGGATTGTGTGATATTTAGGTAGCTGTGAAAAAGGGCAAACTCAAATGGGCGACTTTATCTCAGTCACAATTTAATAGAAAATTTAAATTTGCTGCAGCTTGTATATAATTCCATTTGCCCAAGATCTTACTGAGTGAACATCAGAGCGGTTTTAGCTGCATGTGAGCTTCACAGAGCTTTGAGTTCAATCATAAACACACGTATGTGCTAGCTTGCTTTGTATTGCAGGGCTTGTTTATTCCCAGGTTGGCTTCGGAGTGTAGAAGATGAGGTCTTCTCTATGTAAGAGTGGCCACAGTCATCTGCGGGATGCTAAAGTGGAAATGCCTCTTAAGGATTTAGCACACTGTCATGATTTTATTATATGTGTAAATAAGTATGAAATCGCAGATCAATGGCTTTTATTTAAAGGTGTGGCAGCAGAAGAGTCAGTATTACATATCTGCTTTGCGCGGGCCACATTTAAATCACTTTGGTTTTAATGGTGTGCTGTATACACCCAATCAATTGCAGCTTACATCAACATGTAATAGAAAGAGCAATAGAAAACAAATTCTGATTTAGATGCTACAAGTTAGTTTTTTGAAAACATATCTGCCCTGCTAAAAACATTTTTCCAACATTTTAAATAAACTATTGACCTTTTTTTGAGCCAGGAGACAATGTTATAATTCTTGCCAATGCAAGCTCCAAATGTTTTTATGTGTTTTTCTCTAGTGTATGTTTTTTCTTGGTTATATTTGTATCTTGTATTTTATTTCCGAACCGTGTTATTTAAATATTGTAATTCAGCAGCATTCAAATTGCAGTTTATTTTCAGATTTATTTAAATGAAAAACCTTAAGTAAAATCTGTCACAGAAAAGCCTTTTAAACTCTTACTTGTGTATGTAAATCAAAGCAACTTGTCTTCATCATAAAAATCCATTTATAGACATTCTTTTGTAAAGATTTTAAAATAGACATTCGGTATTTAGCTTTTTGTTTTATTAACTTTATTATATTTTGATGGAGTTGGAGCGTTGATGTTTCTTTAATGGCAGTTTTATCTATAGATGTGTAATGGTTTTTGGATGGAGTAATGAGCAGAAAACATTAATTATTTAGGTTTAGCCTAGCTGTGGAAATATTTGAATGACTGGCAATTATCTAGTCTGTGAACATAAAATGCCTATCATGAAACTGTAAGCATTGTGGAAGAACAAGGCATTGGTTTGTTTAAAGCAAACATCTTAATAAAACATGATGTAAAGTGTGAGACCTCTCTTTGTGCTTTAAAACATTTAAGCATTAACTCCTTCCTTAATGTAGAAATCAAAAGAGATGTTTGACTGTGCTATTACTAATCCCTTCATATTTCCCATAAGAACAGACCAGTTTTAACATAATTACTACGTACGGATTGATTTAATGAATCCATACACCCAAAATTACTTAATGATGGAAAGTTGGCAAGCTTAACTTTTAGCGTCTTGTTTTAGAGATTTTGATGGGAGTTTTCTGAGTTTGCGTTAAAGTAGAACTCCAAATTTATTTGGGAGCAAATCCATTCTAGGTTATATATTTATATCCCTAGTATTTAATCAGACTTGATCTTTACCCGCTTGTGGTCTGTAATTAAAATAGGCCATACCAGTGCAATTCATGAAAGTCAGTGTTGAATGGAGGAAGGTCGTGTTGCCTGTTACGATCACATAATGGCTCCTAGTATTGTAATACAAATCTTTACATCCTTTTAAATGTGCAGCTCTGTTTAAAAGTATCTCAAATGAAACAAAACTTTCAGTACTGGGATTTACATTTATTCAATTACAGTATTAAGTGGATGAGATGACTTGGACATTTTTTGTAAAAAATGAGAGCTGGTACTATGGTTGCAACTGTGAGGAATTTGACATTTTCATCAACTTGTAAAATATTGGCTGGCTTCAGATTATAATGGGAAGGTAGTTTGTAATCAACATAGATTGCGTAGCTATTTTAAGTTATTTCAACTTTTTAGGAGACCGTTCCAGAAACCTTTTTTAGGTAACACTCCAACATCTCACTATCCTTATTGGATTTTTTTTTTTTTTAATGGCAAGGCCATGTAGGGGCGGGGGAAACAGGAACTACTTTGGGAGGTCTCTGCGCCATTATCCCTGAGAGATACTGTAGACTAACAATAATAGGTAATTATAATAATTAATAATAGGTAATAATTGGCAATAGGTAATTCAACTTATTAGCACCTATAGATAAAGACTAATTGTTTTCCATGCACTGACCCTGCAATATCATATATTATTTGTTGTATGTGACCATGTGTGCAGATGCTCTGTCAGTATGCTTTAAAGAACATTCACTGCTATTCCAGGCATGTGGAAAAAGTGTGTCTGGGTACACAGAAGCATTTCTAAAGTGTTTAGCGAGAAGGGTGCTTCTCAGTTCATCTTCCTGCCTATAGCTGTTTTTTCTCTTCTATTGACACTGGAAAAATAGAACAAAGGTGTAAAATGTGGCTCTCTGCACTCTTCATCCAATGTCCATAGTTGCAGAAAAAGCTGAGTGAGAGAGGTGGAGCTTATCTCCAGTCTTTTTATTTATTTAATCCCTCATGTATCACAAGGGAGCTGAATGTTACTGTACACATGCAATTAGTCACAACATTTTATCCAATAAAGGTAATTTGTATTGTTTTGTTTTAACAGAATGCCAAATCATTTGATCCTTTCTGTTCACATCCCGGAAGCAATGTGACAACCCAGTTAGGACCATATGCCTTTAAGATGCCCTTAACCATCCGGCAAAAAATTTGCAATAGCTTGGATGCCCCAAATACTAGAGGAAATGACTGGAGGCTTCTAGCACAAAAGCTCAATATGGATCGGTACGTCTTTGATTTGTGTGTGCCTGTCTCATTTTTCAGGTCTGCCATAAATAGTAATTTTATATTGTGGTCTGTAGACTGGACCATAAAAATGTTTTTATTTCTGAAATTCATTTATGCACTGTGTTGCATTCATAGGTGTGATTTTAAGTGAAGTTGTGTTATCAGATATATTTCTGTTTAGTCATAAAACCTTTCTTCATGTTTTTCATGCACTGCAATTGAAATCTGTGGGGCCACGCTGATGCACCAAAAAAAAGCACCTGTACTGTTTTTACCAGGCACATCTCAGCACAATGTACAGATGTAATCAGGCCCCTTAGAAAATATTGATAATAATGGTGTCTTGCATTGTCACTCGGAGTCCAACGTGTGTCAAAGCACACAGGTGTGAACAGGGACTAAATGTGGTCATGAACATAGATCAGACTAAAAATGTTGTTTTAACCGTTCTGACTGTCTGAACATAAGCTGATACTAAGGTGAACTCATAGGCATCCCCAGCATAGTGTTGTTGTCATGTGAAGCACAAACACTCAGGAAGCATCAGACCTATTGAATATTTTATAATAATTACCATAAATAACTAAAAAAAAAATCGACTAATAATTAGAATTCATTTGGAATAGCCTGCATCACTGCAATGACAAAAATCATTGTGCCATATGTTTTAAAGTGCTTGGATTTTCCAAAGTAGAGATCTCAGAATGTTATTTATTTATAGATCATTAAACTACCATTTAATGGCATAACAAGGAAGCATATAAAAAGAGTATTGGATCTAATGTTTAAAAATTTACAGCTGAACTTCAGCTAAATACACATATAAATATACATATACAGCAGATCTTTTTTCCTGCCAAAGGAAGTACATAAGCACTGCAGCACAGCTGTCTGGCTGTGTGCTGCTCCCAGTCTGTTTTGTTATACTTTGATTAGATCTTAGTTGATAATTCAAATATGTAAAAGGAAAGCTTAAAGTTTAAAACCTGAAGTTTGTATATTTTTATATCATTATTTTTATTACTTCCACACAGGTGATATACATATATGTTTATTGTTTTGCCTTCTGAAGGGTTTGTAATTTTCTTTTAGCCATTACTGATATACATAAACCGGTTCTAGTTGGTAAGGTCACACTGCTACTTCCTGGTTTAGCAATACTGATTCCTAGGTCTAGTCCCTGTTCACTGGATAAAGGTGACAATGCTGATTCGTTGTCTTATGAGGAAGGTTTAAGGTGCCCATACACTGCACGATTCTCGTACGGGAATCGTGCAGTGTGAATGAAGACGTGCGACCGTTTCTACTGTACGGTCGCACATCTTTTGTCTAAGGAGCACGCTAGAAAAGCAGCCGAAAATCTTACGATTTTCAGCTGGTTTGAATGATGCTCAGGAGACAAATGCCGAACAGGCCGGTGTGCGCACGCGCACACTGCCCGTTCATCATTGCGGTCATCGGAAAGCCCGCCCCTCAGGGGGCAGGCTTGCGATGATCGCAGGTACGATCTGCCTGTCCAAGATGGGCAGGTTGTACGTTTTTTTAATTACTTTACAACCATCGCAAGACCAAGGTCTTGCGATGGTTGTAAAGTGTATGGGCACCTTAAGAGACTGAGAGGTGACAGAAGGAGCTGAATTACTGAACCAGGAAGATTAATTGCTTAATCAGGAACAGGATGTATGTATATCACCTATCTGGTTGTGCAGTGCGTAAAGTGTGTTTAAATTGCAAGACTGATGGAGCAGAATTACCTATACTTTGGCAACAAAATATATATACATTTCATCTGTGCTTTTAGCTGTTTTAACTGTCAGGAGTTTTGCTTTATTACAGAGTGCTTTCAATACATTTATGTTACAGGGCATACTGGAATTTCTATTAAGAAAGCTCAGCATTAGCTTTGTTTTTGTTGAGATTGACACCCCCTAGACTGTCTCTAGCGGTATGTCCCTCAACAAGTAAATTTGGCTATGTATGTGTAATCTGATACGCACTTATTCAGGTCTATTCACAACACAGTAAGTCAGCCTGGTGATTAGGTGCTCTGTTGCCTCACACTCACCGCCTTCTGACTGCAAGTGGTAAACACAAAATATTCATATGTGTTATTTCATATTTATGTGTTTAAAAAGAAAATATATTACCTTTAATAAATCAGAAATATATGCATAAACACTGTAAATCATTTTTTATAAATAACAGTTCTGATTTGTGGTATTTTTTTTCCACTTCTAGATATCTAAACTATTTTGCCACCAAAGCCAGTCCAACGGGGGTTATCTTGGACTTATGGGAAGCCTTACACCAAGATGACGGTGATCTCAACACTCTGGCCAGTGCCTTGGAAGAGATGGGCAAAAGCGAGATGATGCTTGTCATGGCAACAGAAGGAGACTGTTGATGACCTCAACTCATTTGACTTGAGTGGGTGAATTTGTGAAAAGTGGAATGAAGATGGAGGGCAGGAAGGCCTTTGGTCCTTAAAACAAGAGACATTTTCAGTCCTTGTTTGTGCTGGATGACTCGCAGAACTGCAGCTTAGTGGGGAGATTGAGTACTCCTCACAGTCTAAACACAACCAGCCTTAGAATTCCTTACATACTCTGTTTACAAGCCATTCAAGTGTCTAATGGAATACCCTTTCACTCCACTCCACATAATGCCAGGTGCACGAAGAGAAGCATCATCGGTACCATGATAGCTGCGGATAAACCTCTTTCACATCACCATTTAAGAAAAAAAAAAAGAACAAAAATTATGACTTTGTAGTTTAATGCTCTTTCATTTCCTCCATCTTTAGAAATATCTATTCTTTGAACAATCTGATCAAACTGTTTTTATCCTGTCCAAGCTTGGAACAGCCTTATAATTAAGGCAAGAGGTTTCTTAGGAAACGCAAGTTTATTTATTATCCAGATCTTTGGATGAGTCTTTGTTATATATGTAATGATTGAGATTTCTGAGTGTATGCACCCGTGTGTATGTTTGAGGTAGGCTTGCCATCTGTCCTCCCTGCCATCTTGCTCCAGTAGAAGTTTCTAATTGCAGACAAATTATTTCAATGGCCTACTTACATTTGTGGGGCCTACTTGTCAGTATAATAATGTTCAGCGCTGCGACTGTACACAGACTGCATTGGGGTTTGTTTATTGTTGTTTGATTTGCCATAACAGATTCTTCATATTTCACTTACCTGAATGGAAACCCTACACAAGCTCAGGGAAAATATTGCTTATGTTCTATAATCCTACCACTGGAACGTGGAAAATAAGTGGTCAGTTTAGAGAACTAAAAGTTAAATGAATCAATTTAAAGGGCCACATTTAGGAATATTAGTGCATCTGTAATACTAATACTACAACATGCAGCTATAGCCCATACATAATAGAATCTGATTAGATGGTACAGGTTTTAACCAATATTTTTTTCAATACAACCTTCCATCAATATTGTTGTTTTTTTAAAAGCCCTGGTTTCATCCTTCATTATGGTCCTTTTTTTATTTCATTTTAATTCATGTATAATGAAATGACAACATATTATTTTACAGTATCAACCAGTAAATTTCAAATTAATTTAACTTTCCTTTTATAACAATCAGGCTTCATTGGCTAATTGGTATTGTAGATCTGCAAGAGTGCTTATTGGCATACATGGATCCATAACGTGGGATAAAATTGCCTTGTCATGTTTGCATTTATACATGCATAGAGAGAGCTGCCTTTTGTAAACAAGAGTGCATAAAATGGTTAGCTGTATTGTGCAACAGGCTCAAGTAGTAAGAAGTAGTAAGCTGCCTTGTGTAGCATGAGGGAAAAGAGCAATGATGTGCAGTAGCCTATAGCAGCCAGTCTAATTTTATTTTTGATCCAGTTAAAGCAGCCAATTATGAAAGATACTGATTGGTTGTTGCGGGTTGCTGCACTTTGAACATTGTTTATTGCCTTATTAAATAGGGGCTTCAGGGTCCTTTTCTACTTGATTGCATATGTAATTGCAAACATCTTGCCAGATTATTAAATTATTAAAACAAATTTGTTTTCTGACATAAGGAAATCTAACACTTCGATCATGACTCCTTTAAAAAAACAGAACCATGTCTTTACAAATTTCATTGTAACTTTTTAGATTGTACCTAAATGTCTTAACCCCCCACACACACAAAGGTTTTTGTTTAATAACATGTGAATCCGTCCATGCCATTGTAGAAATTTAAATTTATTTTTTCAATAATACGTTCATTTATGTATCACTACAATGTGTAAAGAGAACTGGATTAAAAGTGTTATTTTTCTATTTCAAGTTTGATTGAATATATAGCACTTTGTACTAATCTTTCCGTACTGCTCTGCTTGAAGGTGTGTAAATAACTAGGAACACAGTGTTAAATTATAACACCACGTAGCGTGATGTATGTCTTTTTCAATCAATCCACTTTAATGTCTGCTGGGCTCCAAAGAAAGAATCTCCAGGATTTGTATTGTTGGCAGTTGAATCATAGTCTACTTTTGTGTCTTCTAACTTGATTTTCTATATTTTTGTTACCTGTTTAAAGGAGAATTGAAGCCCTAGTAATGAATACATACTTCTTTCACATAAGAACTCTATCCTAACAGTTTAGCTTTGGGTGAATAATCTTTAATAGCCTCAAGGCCTTTGTTGGACCTTTGTGAAAGAGGTGTTTCCCTCCTCACACAAGTTAATGGGAGCGCAAAAGCAGCTTGAAGTTTCATATAGCTCAGAAGGATCTCAAAGTGATCTCAAATGCAGTCTGAATGCACCTAAATGCTAGGTCGGTGTGTATAATCCAAACATTAAATACCCGAATGACTCTTTTCTCTCATCACTAAATAGTGTTTGGTCAAGTTCTTTAACATACAGTACATAGTTGTTACAGTGTGCCAAAGATACAGATTATCCACCAGTCTCTGTCCATCTCTCTTATTCCTTCTTATAACTGAACAGTCCTACTCTATGACAAATATATTTAAAGGTACAGCTTTTTCTTTTTGTTGCCATTTTTCAAATTTCTGGCCTTGGTACTGTAATGACTGGAGTTGAATCCATGGTTAATATAGTTAATCTATTTAAAGGAGCCATGAAGAATAGAGCAACCTATACAAAATACATTCTAAAGAGTTTCTCAATTTGATATCTATATTGTCTAACAATTTTACATCTGTAAAAAAATTTCTTCCTCAAAATGGATATGGTGTCTCCACCTTAAAGGATAGTAATGGTAGTGATCTGCACACTGTGTGGCAGCAACAAAACCTTATGGGGCCAATTTGCTTCTTAAAGGAAACTATTCTCTAGACGTTTGTAGTCGGATGCCACAGCATCTATATTGTGGCTTATACTAGTTATCAATACAGGTGGCTCTTGCCAACATGCCCAGGGGCTGTTGCTATTTAAAGTTCATGTAGGTGCTCTATGTCAAACAGCAATGGCCATGATATAGCATATCCACCCTATTTCTTTCATAAGCTATTCTGTATATGGAGTGGAGACTGTAAAGCAAAATCATAGTTGGCAAATTAAAAACAAATACATTCAATTTTTTTGATGCATTTTCTTTCATTTCTACTTTTTTATATTTATAGCCCAGAGTTACGGTTTATTTGTAAACAATTCCCTTTTGTGGATAGAAAGTTGTGCTTTGAGGAAATCTTTGAAACGTAAGGTTTTTAGGATTCATGTATCTACTTCTTTGAATTGCAGCCTCTGGAAATTACATTGTCTTGTAACCTGATAGCATATAAAGAGTTATCACAAGTTGGTTTTATTTATTAGATGTACCAATACAGCCAATACAAGTGTTACTAGCTTATTATAAAAGACTAGTTTGTGATAAAGAATAACATCCTGCTAGTTATGGAAGGAAGCTATGGGTAACCATTTTTAACCCAACCTGGCATCACTCTGCTGCATGGAAAATTTAATTGCATAATAGAAAGTCTTTTAAACAGAAGTGAGTTTATTCTCATACTCTTTTGTAACTGCCATCCAATAGTTTTGCTATGTTTGTGTTGTCATCCCTCTCAATGCCTAAAAGTGCTAAGCACATAGAGTTGTAAAATGCTACATTCACTTTACAGCCCTAAACCTGCAAAGAAGGATAAAGCTTTGTGATGAGATATCCATTCATATTTAAATTTGGGTACATGTATAAAGGCATTTGGGCATGAAAACTGTTCTGGGCCACAAACTACTAAGTTATGCTTTATAAACTGATGGAGCGTGGGCAGTATTGTAAGATTTAATTATGTACTTTTATATTTCATTTGCCCCGTATTATCTACTGAAAGACAATAGATATACGGTATGTTACATGTGTATATGACTTGTAACTATGGTGTTAAGCAAGTGTAATTTCCCCAAAAGTTCTACTTTTTTTTTGTTCTGTTGCATACAAAAAAAGAATCACAAGGCACTATATCAGTTAGCTTCGTCTCTCTCAGGGTCTTTTGGACATATTTTTCTGCTATAGGCAAAAAGGTGAAATTGGAGTAAAAGTTTTCAGGTTTTATTTCTGTCAGGGGTACATGCATTTTTCTATTACCCCAGACAAGTGAGTCAGACCACTGAAAGATAGCTTGTGATTAGTTACTATGAGGTAATGCATGCCATATTTGCACCAGACCATTTATGTTTTGTTTTTATAACCTCTGCAACTATTTGAGCTAAAGAGCATCCAGAGGATGACAAAAATGTGCAGACTTGTCTATGTAAAATACTTCACTTCTGTTGATTTTTCCTTTTCAGTCAGATGTTTAATTCTCGGTTATGATTTATGCATTTGAAAAACAACTTTTTAGAGTTAAAAACTTCCCAAAAAGTTGCACTTTACATGTGTTAATTTTTTTAAACTCCGTCCTGTAGATGGCAATCAATTAAAGTTTCTCTTTTTACTGTGCTGCACTAACCCCCATCCCTAAGTATGTGACTTTTTTTTTTTTTTAAAGAAAGTCAGCATGTGCCTATTGTGCCATGCATTATCCACTTAGTACCCAAATAGTGCCCAGATCAGAAATGATCAGCAGTTTTTCAAAAGTCTACAGCCTTTAATTAAAGTCATTACAAGGCAGGTGTGACTTTCAATTAAAAATAAACTTGATAAACAACACCATTGGGGAGGGAAAGGGTTTTGTTCTCTCGTTGTTTCAAGGTGATATATGCCATAGTATTTGACCGGATTGTAGACCACATCATGCTGAGGTCCATTAAATGTTCAGTTCAAAACATTTATCAATTCTAAAACAATTTGATTTTCTTGCTTTCATTTTTACTTTTTTTTAAAATATATTTTTACAGCCATGCCACAGATTGAAGTAGTCTGAGGAGATTATAATTTGTGTAAGAGGCCTTAACACCAATGTGCCTTCACAGTGGCCCCTTGAAACGTACAGTAATTTCAGTCTATTTGGACTACAACTAATTTATTCATGATCCTTCCTCAAAATAAAAGCTAATCCATGCTTTACAAGTTACATACTTTTTTAAAGCTTACTAGGACATACAATCCAATTTTAAATTCATGGTCAAAGAATGCAAATAAGAAATACATTTTGGTCATATTAAAAGGGTATAGCTTTTTTTTTTGTCATAGTTTTCAACCACAGCACAGCTGGTATTAACCTTATATTTTGTGGAAACTGTTCTGATCCTTAAATTATTATGTGCCTTTTATGACTGAATGCAAGTTTTTCAGCCTGTATATTTTTTTATTCTTAATTATACGGTTCATCATGTTTCCTATTTTTGTTACTTTTGCTAGTTTTTATTTTTAATTACATTTGTTAATACATTTAGATACTATACTTTATTTGTGTAGAAACTTCAACTGCATCTCATTTAGTGAGTAGCACCAAAATGTATAAAGAGGCAGATTTTATTTTTTTGCTTTGTTCACCTGCTCCCTTTATTTTCTATAACCAAGCTCATTTACCAAAATAATGTATTATGTTGGCTAGTATAAATGTTATGTCTATCACTGAATTTAAGATTTTTACTTATGAGGGATTTACATGCAGATTAAAAGTTAGACTCTGAGATATGATTGAAGTGTCATTGATCAACATATGGAGAACACCATTCAAACTTCATGGTAGCAACGTAAACCATGTTTTTTTTATTAAGTCTAAAATTATGTAAATTTTTTTAAAAAACATTGCATTTTGTGGTTAGTTAAGTATTGGAAAATAGCTTCCTGTGGCTTTAACTATTGGACTGTGACACTTTCCTATTATCTGCTTGAAAAAAAACACCTTCA